ACCTGTCCAAATGTTTTTCGATATTGTAATTGTGCTCACCTCTACCACTTCCCCTGGCAGCTTGTTCCATATGTGCACCACCCTCTGTGTGGAAAAACTCGCCCCTTAGGTCCTTTGTAAATCTTTTCCCCCTCACTTTAAAACCTATGCCCTCTAGTTTAGAATACCCCCACCCCAAGGAAAAGACCTTGCCTATTCACCTATCTGTGCCCCTCATGATTTTATAAACTTCTATGAGGTCACCTCTCGGCTTCCTACGCTCCAGTGAAAGTAGTCCCATCCTACTCAGCCTCTCCTTATAACTCAAACCTTCCTGTCTCTGTAACATGCTTGTAAATCTTTTTTTGCAGTTTAATAATATCCTTCCTATAGCAGGGCGACCAGAATTGTGCGCAGTGCTCCAGAAGAGGCCACACCCATGTCTTGTACAGCTGTAACATGACGTTACAACACTATACTCAATGCTGTGTCCGATGAAGACAAGTGCCAAACGCTGCCTTCACCACTCTGTCTACCTGTGACGCCACTTTCAAGGATGTATCTGCACCCCTCACTCCCCAGGGATCTACCACGAACTGTGTGTAAATCCTGCCCTGGTTTGTCTTACCAAATACGGCACCCTGCATTTATCTGAATTATATAGTACCTTTGCGAACCACATGATTGGCACAGCACTGCCATTCCCATTTGGGAAGGTTTCTTGCATGGCTGACCCTCTGAAAGGAAATGGAGGTAGTCTAGCCCAGGGGCTACTTGTATCTCTCCCCAAATCCCATCCAATGGTAGTATCGTATCGCAACATCAACCAACTCTTTTTTTTTCAGGAAAGCAAGAGAGAAATCCACAGATGGGGAAAATATTAAGCTTTAGCTTTCACATGCAGCTGCATGTTTCTGCATTCCAATGAAGCAGCATTTTGAAGATGCTAAAGTTCACATCCTGTCAGTTCCTGCGTGAGTCGTGATTTTGAATTTTGATTTTGAGTTCCCTGACCCTGTGGGACTGTACTGTATTGTATCGTGAATCACAGTGCGGTGTGCTGTGGTGGCAAGGAGGAAGCGAAAGAAATAGATTAACAGAATGCCAGCATTTGGGAAGAATTTTAAATTCCTGTGACACAGATATAATTATTTGGCCAATTGAAAGTGATGGACTCTGTTTTCTACACAATGTGTACATTCCTTTGAAAAAGTGTTGTTTTTCAATTCCCCCAAATGCCTATTTTTTGGGAACTGGCATTATCACAGTATATGCCTGAGTCTGAGGAATGCTGAGGTGGATTAAACAAGGTTGCAATTGGTGACTCAAAACTCTCGTTTTGAGACATGCCTAAACTTGTTGCTATTTGTAGCTTACACTCACCACACATACAAGACATACCTTCAGCAACCTTCTACATGGAGGCCAGCAGCTCGGAGTGACATATAGCCATGTAGTAATGACAGCTGCTACAATTCGCTAATCTCCTCCAATCGCACTTGATTTTGACGTTCAGACTACATTTGAAACTTAGCAAATTTTAAAATGGATGACATGAAAGTAAGTTTGAAGGTAGGGTATCAAGTTACAATGTACTGTCTGAATTTATAATGCTGTTAGACAGTAAACAAGTGTCTTTATGAAAGCTGTGCCCTGAGTATTAATTTCAGTAGTGGTAGTTTACCGTCATCTGCTTTTCAACAAAGCAATAAAATATAGACACATTTTTACTTGAACTTGCATGGCATGTTATTAAGATTTCCAGAATCACAACATGTTCTGGAGTGTTGTTGCAAAGATTGTGAGTGTGAGTGTGAAATTCAACATCAGCTGATTTTCATAAGTGTTTGTCACTGCAGTTTTTTTTTTGAAATCCAACCCCATAATGGAATCAGAGATTTCTGTCAAGACTTTATTTCCCAGTAGTGTCAAAATGGAATTACTATCTGCCATCTCTTTAGCTCTCAAGAGACATCTGTCACATGAATAACAATCTGAAGTGAACACTGGATGTATTGTGGCTGGAAAATGGTCTGGGACTCTTTTTTTTGCTCCTCGTTTGAAAATGGTTTGGGGGCTTTTATTCCTTGTTTCTGGACCAACCTTCCCAGTACTCAGAACGGTGATGTTTGACGGATACTGAGTCAGATCTGAGATGTGTTTAATGCCCCTCTGGGTACAGAATATGATGGAGAATGTGTCTACAACTCCAGTTTCAACAGGCTACGAGTAGTCCAACATTCTTGGTGAAAAGTAAATGCTGTCTTCATGAAGTCTAGTTTAAAGGATCAGGAAACTCCAAATACGAGCATTAACATGTCTTAACATCTCAATTCTGGCATTACACTGCGTATTAATTGCAAATTCAATGTTTAAGCCAATTAAACAAAAGTCAGAATTTTCTGCACGCATGATTTATATAATCACAGTTTATTACAAAAGCATGTTTTAGTAATACCGGTGCTGTCCCTCTTTAGGACGTACTTAAATAGTGCTGCTTTGAATATCTACTGCAACTCCCCAGTTAGATTTCATGATTCTTGCATGTTTTTGTAAAACCCTGCAGTCACACAACAGCAGTAACTTTTTAAACATTCGCCGTCTTAGACTCGTAGAGTCAGACAAGGAAGAAGCCATTTGGCCCATCAAGTCTATACTGCCAAAAATAGGCCACCACCTACACTAGTCCCACTTTCCCGCACCAAGCCCGTAGCCTTGAATATTATCTGATGCTTCGAGTGCTCATCCAGGGACTGTTTGAAGTTTCCATCGCTGAGGATTTTGCCTCTCTCAGATGGCCTCTGCCTTCCACATTATCTGGTACCTTAAGATGTTCCAATGGTCCCTGTCTTTGTCAAATTTGCCTGAAATTATTATGGTGCAGTAAGACACCAGTTGGCCCTTTTAATCTGTCCTTGCTCTTAGATCTAGGGGGATCTCAAATAAATTGAGGGTGAAAAAAACCACATAAAAATGCTGTCTTGAGTAACAATTATTTGGCAATGGACAGACAAGGCCTGAAGGAGACTGTAAGGTTTGCGTTTGCTGTTAATAGTTGCTCTCCTATTCAGTCTGTTCGTGAATCTGTTCCGGGGAAAAGTGAGTTTTGAAACTGAGTAGTAATTCTACAGTAATACCCAGCATGCTTTTGTGTCAATGTCAGGAAAATGGTAATTTTGATTAGATTTAAGTTTGTTAGAATTAATGTCAATTTGACTATGGCTGAGGAGCTCGATTTGCATGTATGCAAATGTATGTATTAAAACTAGCTAATCTGTCCTGATCAACAAAAGAGCACTTTGTATCTCCAACATAAAAAGAAGGGCTCATGGTGGAGTGAAACTTGAATGACTAAGGAGGAAGGTCTTGTGGGAAATTAAGCATTAATTGACTTGTGTATATATAAAAGCTTCAATTGTCACGAGACTTGAATTAAATATTAAATGCTGAAAATAACCACGAACAGTGCTGAAAAGTAGTTTGGGGCAAGGATGATCGAAATGAGGGAAGAAAAGATACCTTTTGGTTGTGAAGTCAAAAAAATAAATTAAAATTCTGCACTGGTTTCTCAAAGACATTATCTAGGGGAGGGTACACGCAAGGATTAAGTCAAAACTGATGAGCGAGTTAAGATATTAACATTGCTTTTCATGGCCTGGGGAGACCCAGGGGTACAAGTGCATAGTTCCTTGCAAATGGAGTCACAGGGTAGTGAAGAAGGCATTTGATACACTTGCCTTTATTGGTCTGTGCATTGAGTATAGGAGTTGGGAGGTCATGTTGCGTCTGTACAGGACGTTAGTTAGGCCACTTTTGGAGTATTACATTCACTTCTGGTGTCCCTGCTATAGGAAGGGTGTTATTAAACTTGAAAGGGTACAGAAAAGATTAGCAAGGATGTTGTCGGGGTTGGGGGATTTGGGCTATAGGGAGAGGCTGAATAGGCTGAGGCTGTTTTCCCTGGAATCTCAGAGGCTGCGGGGTGACCTTATAAGAGTTTTATAAAATGAGGGGCGTGGATAAGATGAATAGCCAAGCTCTTTTTCCGAGATATCAGAATCCAAAACCAGAGGGCATAGGTTTAAGATGTCAGGGGAAAGATTTAAGAGGGATCTGAGAGGCAGCTTTTTCACACAGAGGGTGGTGCTTGTGTGGAACGAGCTGCTAGATGAAATGGTGTGTAAAGGTACAATTACAGCATTTGAAGGACATTTGAACAGGTATATAAATAGAAAAGGTTTAGAAGGAAATGGGCCAAACGCAGGCGAATGGGACTAGTTCAGTTTAGGAATCCAGGTCAGCATGGATGGGTTGGACTGAAGTGCCTGTTTCTGTGCTGTATGACCATGTAACACTGATGGAGATGGCAGACATGAAGAGAGGGAACAACATGGGAGAATTTGCCAAAATTTTAAATCGCACAAATATAGGAACAGAAGTAGGCCTTTCAGCCCATCAAGACTGATCAGCCATTCACAGATAGCATGGCTGATCTGTGGCCTAACTCCATATACTTGTCTTTGGCCCATTTCCCTTAAATGTTTGTTAAGCCAAGGTATCTCAGATTTAGAATTAACAACTCATCAACAAGGCCTTTTCTGTTGGTATCTTGAGTGAAAGATGGCACCTCCAACTCTGCAGCACTCCCTCGGTACTGCACTAGACGTGCCACCTTTCAGCTCGAGGAGGTCCAAAGTGGGGGTTTGGGCAAAATAACAACAGTAAAGGTAAAGTTGCTAGCATCCGATCCTCTCCTTAGCGAGAGATGACGGGTGGTGGTTTAACCATGCCTCAGGCGAGGGGAGAGTCCTCCATGGTAATCTCAGCCAGTGATGGGAATTGAACCCAACCCTGCATCGGAGACCTGCCATCCAGCCAACTGAGCCAAAAGAGACCCACTTTGACAAAGTAGCCCATAAGGGGGCTGGTGGAGGAAGAATGGCCTGTTTCTTCACTGTAAATGCGACACAAATTACTTCAAGTAAACGTATTAATTATTTCCCCATTTTCTTTCTCTTTAGCACGGATTGGGTGGAGATCATTGAGCCTCGCACTCGGGAACACATGTATGTGAACCTGGTGACGGGTGAGTGTGGCTGGGATCCACCGCAGCGCGTACATGTCCGCCAGTCGAGTGAGAACCAGTGGTGGGAGCTGTTTGACCAGAACAACAACAGGTTCTATTACTACAATGCTCTCACAAAACAGACCGTCTGGCACCGGCCGCAGAACTGTGATGTTGTCCCCCTGGCGCGGCTCCAGGCCATGAAGAGGAATTCCCAGTCGGAAAGCTGGGGCCAGCAGCCTGGCGACGGTGCGCACTCCCGGAAGAATTCTAGCGGTGAGGTTCGCGCTTTCCCCGGCCAGCTGCCGGGGATCCAGGACATGGAGAATGGGAACGAAGCTGTCAGGGGCATGCAGAATTCAGCAAGTCGCAAAGAATGTGCAAGGTAAGCCTGTAACAGCACAGCAACATTGTACATTCAGGTAACACCATTTAACACTGGGGACTGATCCAAGATTCTTCTTGACAAAGATATATCAAACAATACTTGAGACTTGAATCTGATTAAGATATTTCTCAGAAAGAAATGTTTGCAAGAACATCTTAAAGGAGGAGAGGGAGGCGAAAACATTTAGGTACGGACCTGTCTGAGCCTCCAGGTCTGAAGGCACATTGCCAGGGATGTACAATGGAGTAAAATTGGATGGGCTCAGAGATCCACAAGGGTTCAGATGCATAGTTCCTTGAAAGTGGAGTCACAGGTAGACAGGGTGGTCAAGAAGATGTTTAGCACACTAGCTTGGTCAGTGCATTGACTACAGGAGTTGGGATGTCATGTTGCAGCAGTACAGGGCATTGGTGAGGCCACTTTTAGAGTACAGTGTACAGTTCTGGTCCCCCGGTACAGGAAGGATGTTATTGAACTGGAAAGGGTGCCAGAAAGATTTATAAGGATGTTACCGGGATTGGAGGGTTTGAGTTGTAAGGAGAGGCTGCATAGGTTGGGATTTTTTTCCCTGCAGTTTAGGTGGCTGTGGGCAACCTGGTAGAAATGTATAAAATCATGAGGGGAATAGATGAGGTGAACAGCAAAGTATTTTTTTTCCCCAAGAAAAGGGGAGTTCAAAACTAGAGGTCATAGGTTCAAGGTGAATGCATTGCTCAGACATTTGAGTATAGGAACTGGGAAGTCATGTTGAGGTTGTACAGGACAATGGTGAGGCCTCTTCTGGAATACTAGGGTGGTACGTTGGCTCATTGGTTAGCACTGCTGCCTCACAGGGACCCAGGTTCGAATCTACCCTCAGGGGACTGTCTGTGTGGATTTTGCACATTATCCCTGTGTCTGCATGAGTTTCCTTTGGGTGCTCCGGTTTCCTCCCAAAGTCCCAAGATGAGTTAGGTGGTTTGGCCATGCTAAATTGCCCATAGTGTCCAGGGATGTGTAGGTTAGGTGAATTCGCCATGGGAAATACAGGGATACAGGGATATAGGGTAGGGGGTGAATCTGGGTGGGATGCTCTTTGGAGGGTCGGTGTGGACTTGTTGGGCAGATTATGCTCCCTAATTCTAGAATCCTTAACCAGTGGAAACAGTTCATCTTTATCTACTCTGTCTTTTCCTGTTCATATTTTGCCAACTTCAATCAGATCAGCCCTTAACCTTCTGGATTCTCGACAAACAAGCCTAATTTGTATAATGTGTCTTTATAACTTAATCCCTGAAGTCTAGGTATCATTCTTCTGAGGCCAGTATACCTTTTCTAAAGTGTGGCGCCCAGATCTGCTCTCAGTACTCCAAGTGGAGTCTAACCAGTAATTTGTATAGCTGCAGCATGACTTCTGCATCTCCAATCCTCTAGATATAAAGGCCAACTTTCCTTGAGCCACCTTGATTATTTTCTGCACCTGTTTGTAGCATTTTAAAGATTCATCCTCCTGAACCCCCACGTCTTTTTGAACATTCCACTGTATTTAACTTCATACCATCTAGAAAGTTCCCTGATCTATCCTTTCTTAGTCCAAAATAGATAAGCTCTCACTCGCTTGCATTGAACTCCATCTGTCACAGTTTTGCCCATTCACTTTGTCTATCTATTGTAATTTTATGTTATCGTCTACACCTGAGGTGTTTCTGGATTGGGAGATCATGTACATTTAGTGAACATAGGGCTGACATGTGAGTTCAGATATGCCCAGCACAGCTTCACGTGAAGCAAGGCCTGAGCCTGTACAGTCCAATTGGGGGTTGCTAGGGATACAGAGAATCAAGTGGAGAAACTTTTACGTTTCACCTTTTAATGAGGATGCCTCAGGGTTGATGTTATTAATAGAACGTAAGATAACAAATACAGGCAACAATTAAACCCAGAACATCACGTCCAAGTTAACTGTATCTCTTAGATTTGGCATTTGGTTCAGATCATGGAGACAAAAGCCCTGGAACTGTTTTGTCAAGATTTGGATCCTTTGATGTAAAGGCTCTGGAGATATTCCTGAGCTAAGAATGACTTTTTCCAGTTGTGGAAATGTTAAGCACTGTTTTTCAACATACACTGAAACACTGACTCCCCCAACATCACCTGGACCATCTGGCAGTATCCACTTGAAAGTGGAGAACAATATTCAGAACTGTACCACATATCATTGACGAATATAATGCAAAACATGCCAATTGTTTACAAATGGTTTATGAGAAACTGAATTAGTGACACTGTTGTGTGTTACATGTTCAAACCTTGTGTCTTTTGTTTAGGATAATCCGGGAGCTTGTGGAACCTATATTAAGCCTCAAAATAAGGGGGAGCCAGATCTAGGACTGAGTTGAGGAAGAACCTCTTCACTCAAAGGGTTGTGAATCTGTGAGATTCCCTGCCTGGTGAAGCAGTTGAGGCTACCTTGTTGAATGTTTTTAAGACAAAGATAGATTTTTGAACAGTAAAAGAATTAAGGGTTATGGTGAGTGGAAGGGTAAATGGAGCTGAGTCCTTGAAAAGATCAGCCATGATCCTGTTGAATGGCGGAGCAGGCTTGAGGGGCCGGATGGCCTACTCCTGCTCCTATTTCTTATGTTTCTTATAGTACACCATTGGCTGAGGCATAGTCATGAAGAAAGCAGTCAGTTAACTCGCTCACCCTTGTGGTATAAATTGTTGTGATTGTTTGAAATTTGGCATTCTTGCATTTGTCCTGGAGTGCAGGGCCAAAACCTTTGTCAACATGTCTCCCTTCAGCGATATTCTGTTCTACCGGTTGATACTTGGATGAATAAGGATTATATGGGAGAACATGCCCTACTCAGTCCAGTTAAAAGCTTGGAATCTGGCAAAGCGGGGAAGCTTGGTGATATAATTGTGCTAATTGAAAAGTGAAAACTAACAGCTGTGCCATCGTATCATTGGATGAATTGACCATGTGGCTTAGTCCTGAGCTATACTATAGCTCAGCGAGGTCACATGTTTGACCTCCTGTGTGTGTGGGTAATTAATCTTAAATGAAATAGCAGTTGGAGCATAACAATATGCCTGAAAAAGCCTGGGGTTGGGACAGGAAACGTCAGCTGTGGTTCCTGTTTCAGATTTCTAACCAATGTTTGTGAGAATCCGTTCCCCCTGCAATGCTGGCTGTCTGGATATCAGATGGGGAAAAGGTCGAGTTTACTCTCAGTGCCTCTTGCGCTCCATTTCCTGCCTGGTTCCAAGAATAGCCTTTGAGATGTAATATTGGAGAGCAGCAGCAGCAGCATCCCTGGAACAAGAAGGACTTGTACTTATAAACTTTAACATCATAAAGTGACGCAACAAGTCCGGAAAGGAAGGCAATGGTAGAAATCCAAGAAAAAAATAGTCTTTCGATTTGGTATTTAGGCATTGAAGCTGAGCGAAGCAACTTGGGAACATTGTCCTTGCATGGATAAAACAAGGGGGCATATTTTTAAGGTGAGGGGAGAAAGATTTATAAGGGACATGAGGTGGCAACTTTTTCCAAACAGAGTGGTTTGCATGAGGAATGAACTGCTAGAGGAAGTGGTAGATGAAGGTACAGCTACAACATTTAAAATACACTTGGACAGGTGTATGGATAGGAAAGGGTTAGAGGGATATGGGCCAAATGCTGGCAAGTGGGACTAGTTTAGTTTGGGAAACTTGGTCAGCACAGATGAGTTGAATTGAAGGGTCTGTTTCTGTGCTGTATGACTCTATGAATCAGTGTAGATTTTTTTTTTGATAACACCCCTGTGGCATTCTACATGTAAATGGAGCTACGTAAGTGCAAGTTGTTGTTGCTGGCAGTAATTAAACAGTGACACTGAGCAATGTTGCATAGATTAAGTTAGCCTGTGCCTCAAATGTGGCTGAGAGCAAGTTTGGAAAATGCGGATAGAGGACTGGATAGAATTTGATACCTTTAAGAAAGGTCAACCTGTTTTTAAAATTTAAATGAAAGCAATAGTTATCATCAGTTTATGATTGGTTCACCCTGATTCTCCAAGTATAGCTATACTGTTCTTATCCGAGAAATTCACCGCAAAACATCACAAGGTATGCAAGATGCTTCTTGTCTTTTGTGCTTCAGGGATGACTTATTTGGTGGGACATGACCAATGAATTCTCACTAACTCATAAGTATGGTTTCCTCCTCCTTGCTGCTCCTGCAGCTTTCAGGGAATTTTAAACAAAACCCGTCACTTTTCAGTCAGAAGCACAGAGCGTTGAACTTCTGATGGCGCCCATCACCATCTGCTATCAGATGAGGTGGCTCACTGATGAGTGAGAGATCTCAGTTTGCCTGAGACAAGGTGCCTCGTATGTGGTTTGGTAAGAACCTCCAGGAAATTGGCTGCTCAACGTGTGGGGACCAGTTCTTTCCTGCGCACCTGAGGATTGGAAGAAGTTGCACTGATTAGAACAGAAAGAAGGAAAAGTTTGCCAATAACCACTTCACAACTGTTTGTGTGACAAATAAGGTTCCCTTTAAACATAAATAATATTTGTTATGGTTTATGGTGCAGACCACACAGAAGAACAAAGACCAGGAGTGTTTTGTTCCAGCACCATAATAGCTGGTGCGGCAGATTGAAGGCGACAGCGGTTTGATATTCAGAACACCTCATGTGAGCATTGTCTCCTGTAATTTATTTTTGCCATCTCCTCCTCTCTTTGTCCCATGTGCTCTCGTGAGGGAGCTGACATGAATCATTCAACGTTTAGTCGATGTAAAGTAAGAGTTTGTGTGTTGTCGTTCCTGATGAGGCAGTTCCTGGACCATTGCAACTGAGAACAACTTCTTTCAAGTTGGTGTGAGTGTGAGATGGCACCAAGTGACACTGCGTCCACACAGTGCCAGGGACCCGGGTTCAATTCCACCCTCAGGTGACTGTGTCTGTGTGGAGTTTGCATGTTCTCCCTGTGTCTGCGTGGGTTTCCTCCGGATGCTCCGGTTTCCT